CAAACAACTTTCGTTAGACGACTTAGTTGCAACTTACAGGATAGCATAGTTTTACCAACTATGACAAAAACTGTAAGTTAAACACATCACCGGGTTACATTAAATGCCGTGATGCATCTATCATTAAGGGTGTGCGACCCATCTGGAAGCGCCTCTATAAAGATCAATACCGCATTGAGTCAACGAATTTCAGTACCACTGGCCTTTACGTCCCCTCCAAACCAACAAGAACAAGCTGTAACACCGTAAGGCATGGCTTGGAGTCATGAATAGAGAGCTCACGTTCAGGATTTATTGGGCAAAGATCTTGTTATGACTCTCAACGGCCCGGAAGTATTTGTTGTGAAAGAATTGGAAAAATTCACGAAATACAAAGTAAAGTAAGAGCTGAAAAAGAAATGAATTAATAAACAGGATAATACGGACGGACGAATTGACAGTAATGTTTTTTTTTTGGACAGCCCACCCTCAACCCCCTCTTGTAATTCCTAAAAAGTTCAAAGCCCTTTTTATAGAGGATAAGCCTCGTTCGATAAAAATTATATAAAAAACTCGAACGCGCCATTGAAATTGATTCATGTCCATTTTATTAAAAAGAAAAAACCCCTTACGTTAACAAAACCAACAATCAGCCCTCACCCAATCACCCCTACCCCTCACCCAATCACCCAAACCAAAGTAAAGTAAGAGCTGAAAAAGAAATGGATTAATAAACAGGATAATACGGACGGACCAATTGACAGTAATGTTTTTTTTTGGACAGCCCACCCTCAACCCCCTCTTGTAATTCCTAAAAAGTTCAAAGCCCTTTTTATAGAGGATAAGCCTCGTTCGATAAAAATTATATAAAAAACTCGAACGCGCCATTAAAATTCATTCATGTCCATATTATTAAAAAGAAAAATCCCCTTACGTTAACAAAACTACCAATCACCCCTACCCCTCACCCAATCACCCAAACCTTTTCCTTGGCGTCAATGGGGCGCAACTCCCATATAGATTTGATTATGCTCTTCTCGCCTACCCAAACCCTTAACCCTCGCACCACAATTTCAACCCCTACCCCCTCACCCAATCACCCAAACCCTTCTCTTGGCGTCAATGGGGCGCAACTCCCATATAGATTTGATAATGCTCTTCTCGCCTACCCAACCCCTACCCCCTCACCCAATCACCCAAACCCTTCCCTTGGCGTCAATGGGGCGCAACTCCCATATAGATTTGATAATGCTCTTCTCGCCTACCCAACCCCTACCCCCTCACACCCTTAACCCCTACTCTACTTTCACTCACGTTCTAACGTTGAAGTTCTTCGGCTTCGTGCTCCTCAGGTTTGCTCACACAACAGAACATTCGTTTAAGAGTCCTCCAAAAACTTCTGCGCTTTTTTTTGGGCTTCTCTTGCAGATTGGATCGGCTCGATGGTCCATCATCAGCTGATGGCACAGAAAACGTCATGTCCGATGCAATCGTAATAGCATCGCAATCCTGAAATAATAATAAAGATTTATTAATATTAATAGTCAGAACTCCAGCTAGTTGAATTTGAATTCACTAGAGTCATGTAATGAATTTGTTACTTACAGCGAAATGGGAACAGATTTGTGATGAAACAAATCCTTGGAGGGCCGATGCTAGTACGGGATGGTGAAACAAGCAGATCCCGACTTCTCTCATGAGCATGATGTCATGGAAGTGATTGATCCACACAATCAACAACTCCTCTAGACCCTCCAAGACTTCCAAAGACGCTCCCTTGAACCATTGCATCAAGCACAAAATAAGAGGAACCAGCTCTTCTTGCTCTTGCTGAAGTATCTCGATTTCTTGCGAAACAGCATACTTCATGAGCAAAAGCTTCAGCTCTGGATGCTTACTCAAAATGTTGGACGTCAAAATTTGCATTCGTCTATTCTCCACATCGTACAGTCGAACAAACTTCCTCATTTGCCTCTTTACTGTTGAACCTGCATGAGATGCATAATCCAACAGCTCAAGAGGCAAATCTCTTGAAGGTTCTTCAACCGCACAATGAAAATCCTTGGAGAGGAATCGTCCGACGAACAGCAACTCGTAAGCCAATGGCTGGTAGTCGCTATAAAATTTCTGGTCCAACAAATTTTGATAGCCTTCATCCAACTCTTGATCCAATCCATCTTGCCATCCACCTTTCAATTCATCTTGCCATCCACCTTCCAATTCCTCAGGAATTGGAGCAGCAATGATTGGCGAAGAATGTCTATCCAGGAGATGTGGATCCTCGAGCTCATAATCTGGAATGAGAGCTGGCATACTGTTGATGAACTGGTTCATTTCCTGGAAAAAAAAATTTGTTAAATTTTTCAAAATTTAAAGGTAAGGATTTAAATCATCATCAAAATGATTTGAAAAATGATTTTTTATTTAAATCATTTTACACAAGTGATTTATTTTTGATTTATGATTTAAATCATTTTGTATGAAAGATTTATTTGTGATTTATGATTTAAATCACATTGTATGGGCATTTTTTTGGGGATTTTAAATCACTTGAAGGTGAAAATTTGTTTGGGAATTTTCAGAAGATTAATTAAAAACATTAATCATTAATCATGGATATCCTTTCTGGCTTTTGGATATTGTAGTATGCAGATGTTGGTGAAAGCATGAATGGATCTAGCATCATATGAGGAACTAGTCAATTCCAGTCCCTTTAAAGCATTTTTTGATAAGTTTTCATTGTCAAAGAGGTATACGTTTTTATTTCTTAGCCAGAGATATGATTAGACACTGGAACTGCTCAGTTCCTTTACATCCCAAAAAAAAGTTTTTGTTTCTTTTTAATCGTGATTCACATCCTGGAACAAAAAAAAATTTTTGAGGAACCGACCGGTTCCTTTAGTGCCTGAAGACTAAAAATGTCAAATATTAAGTCATTAAAGAATTAAGCACTTTTTTTGAGCATTTTCAGTCTTCAGGCACTAAAGGAACCGGTCGGTTCCTCAAAAAAATTTTTTGTTCCAGGATGTGATTCCTTGATTAAAAAGAAACAAAAAATTTTTTTTGGGATGTAAAGGAACTGGGCAGTTCCAGTGTCTACTCATACCTCTGTCTAAGAAATACAAACGTATACCTCTTTGACAATGAAAACTTATCAAAAAATGCTTTAAAGCGACTGGAATTGACTAGTTCCTCATATGATGCTAGATCCATTCATGCTTTATCATTTAGAGCTATACCAACATCTGCATACTACAATATCCAAAAGCCAGAAAGGATATCCATGATTAATGATTAATGTTTTTAATTAATCTTCTGAAAATTCCCAAACAAATTTTCACCTTCAAGTGATTTAAAATCCCAAAAAGAATCCCCATACAATGTGATTTAAATCATATAAAATTAATGCTTACCTCTTCCTCAACTTGAGGCTCCACATTTTCGCTATCGATGATTGAACCTCTGCTCCCATTTCGCTGTTCTTCTTCCTCCAAAATTTGATTCATCCTCTGAATCAACTCGATGATATCCTCCTTTGTCAACTCGTACGATATTGTTGCTTCCATTGTTTAAACAAAACTGAAAAAAATTCAGAATTGTTCAAATTTCAAAGGTTGCTAGGATTATTTTTTTCTCATTCAATCTTTGAAGAATTCAAAGAAAAATAATATTTTTGGACATAAACCGAATTTTAAGCTGTTAAATCTGCTGCATCAACATATCCAATGCAAAAAGGATTCATTTAAATTTGTTACGTGATATGGAAACGAACCAAATGATAAAATCAAAATGTTTGTTTAAAATCAAGAAAATTAAATTATTTATGCAGGAAGAAGTCAACCACTTACAATTTAAGCAGAAGATAGAAGCCGAAAGAAGAACTAAGCAAGACGAAAGGAAATGGTAATAAGTTTTAATCATTAAATTTTCATGGAAACACAGGAAAGATACAATTGCGATGATCAGATTTTATTCATCGAGCAGCAGATCAAGTTAGAGATTTTCCAAAAAGAAAATTAAGAAGACAAAGTCCAGTATATCATGCAGTGGAAAACGAAGATACAGAAGAGCAAGTTGCTGATTTTGTCAACAGGCATTTGATGATTCATGGTGAAAATACATCTAAAATCTTAAAAATGCAAAGAGTTGTTATGCGTGATCGTCGACATACGGAAGTAGCTCAACTAAGAATGGTGCAAACACAAGGTTGATCTACACTCTTTAAATTTGATTTTTTAAGGTGAGTAAGACTTTTTTAAAAATTGTTCCCAACTTTATTTTGAAACTTACATGCCAAGTCTGGTCATGTACAATCTCGTACTTGACGTCATTCAGTAGAATGCAGTTATGTTGAAGCTGAAATAGCATCTACATCATTGAATGACTTGCTCAATTCTTTCGAAGATTTAGTATGTGATGTTGAGATCTAGTTTTAAAATCATCATTCGCACATATTGTTAGGGTATGGATTATGATAAAGCAATTGAATGGCTTAAAACTAACAATGTAAAATAAGACATTCGAGAAGCATCCGAGAGAGAAAAAAAAAAGTAGAAAATTTATTGAACCAAATATGTTGTGAAGATTTGCTGCTGGAATCAATGCTTTTCGAAAGAGATTATTGGTAGATCTATGAGTGTTGATGATACATAACGATAATTGACTGCATTTAAAAAGTAAGGGATTGATGCTAAACCTTATTACTGGTAATATATTGATATCCAATTTATTTAAATCTATTATGAACTTAACAATTTAATTTTAGGCATGCTGATAAAAGAGTTTAGGAACAATGCTACATGGTGGTCTATGGATTAGGTTTTGCACGATTCTTGTGTAGTTATACGTGAATATAAAAAAAATAAATTTGGGAATCAACTTGCTTTTTGCGATTCAGCTTATCTATATATACTAATAAAACCTGACTGAATTTCAACATTCCTTGCATAAATTTTCCAGCTTACCATCTTCAAAAACTTAAAGGAACCAAGAAAAATCTGTTGCTCTTCGGGAATTTCTGGAATTAACAAACTTCGATTGGATGTTGCCTATTGATTAGCAATTTAAACCCCAAGACAGAAACTTAAGCTGAAGTTTGATCTATGCAAAAGACTTTCTGTTTAATTTTTGTTTTAAACGAAAAATCTCTTCTTTATTGTGTACAGCAATCTATCAAAAGAGACGTGGAATTTGGTTGGTTTTCTACGTAAGTTGTGTTTTCTGTATTTGCTCGTGAACCATAAAAGCAAGCAGAGTGTGAAGCATCAATTATGCGCTTGAGGCTGTTTCTAATTACTTCTTACTTATATGATGTTCGAAAAATCAAATTAAAATTGAACGGTTTGATCAGGCTTTATTCAGTCATTACAAAAAGCTATTAATTATAGTTTGAATAGATATTTTTTCATTTATTATATTATAAAATTTAGCAAATAGGCATGTCTATGGTAAAAAATTATATTCTTAAAAAAAATCTTAAAAAAAATTTTGATTTTTACATCATATTTTATAGCGACAGGCTCTAACTAAGCAGAGCATTATTAAATTCAGCCACTTTATCTGATATATACTTTTGTCTGTATGAGATTTCTTCATCAAAGTGCTGCTTCAACGTTTGAAGATTCGGCATAGTCTTACAGTCTGGAACATTAAGTAAAGTATTGAAGAATTTATCCCAAATATCTTTCTGGAAGTATCTTGGGAATCTTGTCTTAATTTGCCAATTGCTTGACTTCTTTTCAACTTCTATATACTTTCCAAATAGAATCACATGAGCTGTCCCACAAATACCAAAAAGATCTGTCTGATATGTCCATGACCGATTCTCAAGCATCTCACAGCATGTAAAATTGTCTGTTTTCACGACATAAGTGAACTCATCATCTTTATCGAAGCTATCCATGTCAATTGCAGATCCAAAATCTATTAGCTGCAGTGATGGAACTTTTATTCCAATAGCAATTCTAAAGAAAATTAAGTAAAATAACAAGAATTAAAAGATTAATAATTAAACTAGACATTTTACGTACTTGGACATCAAAACAAAATTGTCAGGCTTAATATCAGCATGAATGATGTGACATGAATGGAGATAATCAATAATAGACAAGAGCTGTGATGTAAAAATCATTCCAATATATTCATCAACGTTTTTACTAGTGCCTTGCTTAATTTTATTGCAAACATCAATGAGTGATCCATGTGGAGAATATTCCGAGATTAAGACACTAGCATTATTGGCAACAATAGCTTTGTAGACATGCATATAAGCTGGAATCATGTGATTAATGTTCTTTGAACTTAATCGAGAGACTAGTTCGATTAAAATATAATATTCCCATAGATTTGGTGGTTTTTCTTGCTTTGCTGCATACGATTCATTGTTCTTCATGTTGCGCACTTCAAAAACTGAACCAAATCCACCTTTTCCAAGAATTTTAGCCACTTTATACATGTCATTTCCACACTGTAAAGTCCCTCCGATTTTTAATTGAGGAACATTCTTTAATAAAGAACAGGAATCAATGTGATCTTCAAGATATTGTTCGAAATTGCATTGTTCAAGAATCAATGTGCGAACATCTTTAGAAAATGGATTTCCTTTGCTCTTCACAATTGCATCTCTTAATTTAAATGACAATGATTCATCGAAATTCTGAATGATTGTGTATTCATAACGATTTGGACCGTCACCAAGAAAGCTGTACATTTTTTCATCTTCCCAAGTTTCTGCATCTTCAAACTCGACAATTGTCTGATCTTTCTTTGGATTATGGTAAATACTTTTACTTAAATCATCATCTTCTTCATCATCCTGGAAAATCTCAAATTCATTTTTCTTTTCTTGTTGTTTACTGGTTTGGGGCTAATCGCTAATAAAAAAATTAGATTTATTCAAATTGTCAACTCCTAAAGATGTTAAGACGTACCTTTCTCAGCAGCTTGTGATTTATTCTTTCCCAAACGACCAAATTCGTCTTCATTCATTTCAATACTCAAATCTAAGAATTCATTGAGTTCTGGTTTCTTTGTGACAGGAACAACCTTTGTGACATCTCCAATAACGGTCGAATTAATGCCGAATTTAAGTGGCAAATTGAATTTCTCAGTATTAAGATCAGCTTCAAAAATATTCATTGTTGGACTAGGACTCTTGAATGGCTTATTAATTTGCAAGTCATTGAAAGTGGCTTCAAGTGACAATCCCAAACATTATTCTCTTCCCTTTTTGTTCTGAAATAAAGATAGGTAGATAGAATGTTTTCGGGGGAGGGTTAATCATATCTAGAGATGTCAATTTTCTAGCATATCCTTTTTGTATAAGGTTCTCGACTTGTTCAGTTATTTCGTTGAGTTTGTTCAGCCTTTTTGCATGTTTTATGAGAATTTTAAGTCCACGTTCAGCTATTCTTAGCGAATTTTCTGTAGGTAATTGTGGATTATGGATCCGCCATAGAAGCGGTACCTGAAACTTTTGTTTCTCTTTATTATTATTATTATTATTTTTATTATGGTCCATCAGTATATAGCTATTTAAAGACCTGCACTATTCCAAAAATACAATTATCGAAATTATCTATATTTTTTTTATGTGTCATCTCTTGGGTAGATGTTAAACCTCCATTTCCTTTTTTATCAAAACATCCTCTTCTTGCTCTTTCATCTGTTCATCTTTTTCTTCCTCTTCTGACTCATCGTCAGACTCTTGATCCTCCGTTGTAGCAATGTCATACTTGAGAAATAGTTTGAATCGATCTCCATTTGTGTTTGGGGTTTCTGCAAGTTCGTCCACGAATTTGCAGAAATCATTGATTGTCTTCTCTATATCTGGGATTTTTTTCAACTTTTCCTGAGCAAAAGTTAATTTCTTGAAAAGTCCTTCAATATTGACTGCTTCTTCGAGCTTCTCTGCGTAGCTTATTTGACTTGATATGACCGAGCTGTATTGTTTCTCTTTTATATAGATAGTTTTCTGATTTAAAAGTTTCAGTGCTATCTCTTCTTCTGCAATATTTCTATCATTTTCATACGGTAATTTATAATCGATTCCCATTACGCCATCCTGCATTTTCATAAGTTCACTCTTTTCCTCTTCACTTATTTCATGAGTGCACTGAGACTGCTGGGAGTTTTGTTCATAAAGATGATTATAAAGTTTTGGAAGAGGCAAAGTACTTCCTAGTAGACAGTAACCTAGAGGAGTAAGGATAGCTGTTGAAGATTCATCAACATTTTTGGAAAATCTATCCAATCTAATTGCCTGTGAAAAAATTTCTGATCAGTTCCTATTATGAAATTTTGCATGCACTTATCTTTCCATTGACAATACAATATTCAATTTAAAAAAAGAAATGTAAAACTGCTTAATTGTAGTACAATTATATTGAATTTTTTGTTATTTAAGGCTTAGCTTATTTTTACATAACATATAAACAACTTTCAATAATTTTAAATTTCAAAAAGCCGTTATGAGTTTGAATAAAAAAAAATACGTTACACGACTTTCAACGGTTAAATTCTAGTTTACAAACTAATGCTGATCGATGGATACTTTAAATAATTTTTTAAAACTAAAAAGTAGAAAATAAATACTTTATAAAAAAAACTTTTTAAAAAACCACGTTTTTACCCGTAGTCTAAAAAGTAGAAAATAATTTTTATATTGGGTTCAAAGGATATTGGTTTGAAAATTTGAGATTGATTTTGAAATTTGTTCACTTCTACCATATCGTATAGTTCTACATCTTAAAACGTGGGCGCATTTAAATAAAATTTAAGCTCTCCAAATATACAATATTAGAGAATGCGCCCACGTTTTAAGATGTAGAACTATATTAACATTTTTGACTACAAATCTGCTAGAACTTCACAGAAATTGCTCAAACTGACAAAGCAATTTGTGCGAATGTTCTTAAATCAATAAAACATGACAAAAAATTTTATATAACATTATTGCATGATGCAGTGAATTTATGGTGCAACCTAGTTCAAAAGTAGCTCCTTTTTAACATTTTTGACTACAAATCTGCTAGAACTTCACAGAAATTGTTCAAACTGGCAAAACAATTTGTGCGAATGATCTTAAATCTATAAAACATGACAAAAAATTTGTTTAACATTATTTCAAAGAAACAGTAAATTAATGCTGCAACCTAGTGCAAAAGTAGCTCCTTTTTAACATTTTTGACTACAAATCTGCTAGAACTTCACAGAAATTGCTCAAACTGACAAAGCAATTTGTGCAAATGATCTTAAATCAATAAAACATGACAAAAAATTTTATATAACATTATTGCATGATGCAGTGAATTTATGGTGCAACCTAGTGCAAAAGTAGCTCCTTTTTAACATTTTTGACTACAAATCTGCTAGAACTTCACAGAAATTGTTCAAACTGGCAAAGCAATTTGTGCGAATGATCTTAAATCTATAAAACATGACAAAAAATTTGTTTAACATTATTTCAAAGAAACAGTAAATTAATGCTGCAACCTAGTGCAAAAGTAGCTCCTTTTTAACATTTTTGACTACAAATCTGCTAAAACTTCACAGAAATTGCTCAAACTGACAAAGCAATTTGTGCGAATGATCTTAAATCAATAAAACATGACAAAAAATTTTATATAACATTATTGCATGATGCAGTGAATTTATGGTGCAACCTAGTGCAAAAGTAGCTCCTTTTTAACATTTTTGACTACAAATCTGCTAGAACTTCACAGAAATTGTTCAAACTGGCAAAGCAATTTGTGCGAATGATCTTAAATCTATAAAACACGACAAAAAATTTGTTTAACATTATTTCAAAGAAACAGTAAATTAATGCTGCAACCTAGTGCAAAAGTAGCTCCTTTTTAACATTTTTGACTACAAATCTGCTAGAACTTCACAGAAATTGCTCAAACTGACAAAGCAATTTGTGCGAATGATCTTAAATCTATAAAACATGACAAAAAATTTGTTTAACATTATTTCAAAGAAACAGTAAATTAATGATGCAATTAAGTGCAAAAGTAGCTACTTTTTAACATTTTTGACTACAAATCTGCTAGAACTTCTTAAATTGTTCAAACTGACAAAGCAATTTGTGCGTATGTTCTTAAATCAATAAAACATGACAAAAAATTTGTTTAACATGATTTCAAAGATAAAGTGAATTTATGATGCAACCTAGTGCAAAAGTAGCTACTATTTAACATTTTTGACTACAAATCTGCTAGAACTTCACAGAAATTGTTCAAACTGACAAAGCAATTTGTGCGTATGTTCTTAAATCAATAAAACATGACAAAACATTTGTTTAACATGATTTCAAAGATAAAGTGAATTTATGATGCAACCTAGTGCAAAAGTAGCTACTATTTAACATTTTTGACTGCAAATCTGCTAGAACTTCACAGAAATTGCTCAAACTGACAAAGCAATATGTGCAAATGATCTTAAATCAATAAAACATGACAAAAAATTTGTTTAACATTATTTCAAAGAAACAGTAAATTAATGCTGCAACCTAGTGCAAAAGTAGCTCCTTTTTAACATTTTTGACTACAAATCTGCTAGAACTTCACAGAAATTGCTCAAACTGACAAAGCAATATGTGCAAATGATCTTAAATCAATAAAACATGACAAAAAATTTTATATGACATTATTGCATGATGCAGTGAATTTATGGTGCAACCTAGTGCAAAAGTAGCTCCTTTTTAACATTTTTGACTTCAAATCTGCTAGAACTTCACAGTAATTGCTCAAACTGGCATAGCAATTTGTGCGAATGTTTTTAAATCAATAAAACATGACAAAAAATTTGTTTAACATTATTTCAAAGAAACAGTAAATTAATGATGGAATTAAGTGCAAAAGTAGCTACTTTTTAACATTTTTGACTACAAATCTGCTAGAACTTCTTAAATTGTTCAAACTGACAAAGCAATTTGTGCGTATGTTCTTAAATCAATAAAACATGACAAAAAATTTGTTTAACATGATTTCAAAGATAAAGTGAATTTATGATGCAACCTAGTGCAAAAGTAGCTACTATTTAACATTTTTGACTACAAATCTGCTAGAACTTCACAGAAATTGTTCAAACTGACAAAGCAATTTGTGCGTATGTTCTTAAATCAATAAAACATGACAAAACATTTGTTTTACATGATTTCAAAGATAAAGTGAATTTATGATGCAACCTAGTGCAAAAGTAGCTACTTTTTAACATTTTTGACTACAAATCTGCCAGAACTTCACAGAAATTGTTCAAACTGACAAAGCAATTTGTGCGTGTGTTCTTAAATCAATAAAACATGACAAAAAATTTGTTTAACATTATTTCAAAGATAAAGTGAATTTATGATGCAACCTAGTGCAAAAGTAGCTACTTTTTAACATTTTTGACTACAAATCTGCTAAAACTTCACAGAAATTGTTCAAACTGACAAAGCAATTTGTGCGTATGTTTTTAAATCAATAAAACATGACAAAAAATTTGTTTAACATGATTTCAAAGCTAAAGTGAATTTATGATGCAACCTAGTGCAAAAGTAGCTACTATTTAACATTTTCGACTACAAATCTGCCAGAACTTCACAGAAATTGTTCAAACTGACAAAGCAATTTGTGCGTATGTTCTTAAATCAATAAAACATGCAGAAAAATTTGTTTAACATGATTTCAAAGATAAAGTGAATTTATGATGCAATCTAGTGCAAAAGTAGCTACTTTTTAATATTTTTGACTACAAATCTGCTAGAACTTCACAGAAATTGCTCAAACTGACAAAGCAATATGTGCAAATGATCTTAAATCAATAAAACATGACAAAAAATTTGTTTAACATTATTTCAAAGAAACAGTAAATTAATGATGCAATTAAGTGCAAAAGTAGCTACTATTTAACATTTTCGACTACAAATCTGCCAGAACTTCACAGAAATTGTTCAAACTGACAAAGCAATTTGTGCGTATGTTCTTAAATTAATAAAACATGACAAAAAATTTGTTTAACATGATTTCAAAGATAAAGTGAATTTATGATGCAACCTAGTGCAAAAGTAGCTACTTTTTAACATTTTTGACTACAAATCTGCCAGAACTTCACAGAAATTGTTCAAACTGACAAAGCAATTTGTGCGTATGTTC